ATTTGGGTTGAATGCTCTGTATACATCTATGAGGTCAAGTTGGTTGATTGTGCTGTTTAGTTCCTCTGTAACTTTGTCGAATTTCTTTCTGGTTGTTCTGTCCCTTTTTGACAGTGGTGTATTAAAACCTCCCACAATAATTGTAGATTTATCTATTTCTTTCTTCAATTCAATTAAGCTTTGCTTCATATGTCTTGGTCCTTTTTCATTGTGAGCATTGATATTTATTATGGTTATGTCATCTTGCTCAATTGACCTTTTGATCACGAGATAGTGTCCTTCTTTATCTCTTATGCTGTTTTGTTTTTTTTAATTAAAATTTACTTTAACAGGGATTAGTTTTGTCACTCATGCTTGTTTATTGTTGCAGTTAGCTTGTTATATTTTTTTCCACCCTTTAATTTTTAGTCTGTTTTTGTTTTTGTATTTAAGGTGTGTCTCTTAAAGGCAGCATATTGAAGGTTCTTGTTTTCTTAAGCATTCTGCCGCTCTCTGTCTCTTCACTGGTGTATTCAATCCATGACTTTCAATGTAATTATCAATAGGTATGAATTAATCGCTGCCATTATGTTAATTATTTTAGTAGTGCTTTTTGTTCCTTTATTCTGCATGCCTTCTTGTGCTGAGTTTTGTGTGTGTGTGCTATTTTTGTCAGTTTCTTTTTAGTTTTCATGTTTGCTTGTTCTGCTTGGAAGTTCATTTTCATGGTAAGTTGTGAAGTATTAACTTTCTTTGGGGTTACTTTATAGTCTATTAACTTTTCTCTCCTTTAAGAGATAAAAGTTAATAGACTATATTGTATCCTGTAATCTACCTGATCTCCTCACCATCTAGATCTCTGTTCCTATATTTTTTTATTCCTTTACATTGATATTATTTTGATCTTCCCTTGACCTCCCAGCCCCTTTGAATTCATTGTTGTAATTTTGTTCTGTTCTGGACTCTGCTATCCATCATATATGTTTGAGGTGGCGTTGCCATGCCTGTCAATCTGGTTGTTGTCTGTTTCTGTTGGTTTTCAATCCAAAGAACTCCCTTTAGGATGTTTTGAAGTGCTGGATTGGCTTTGAAAAAAATCTCTTAGCTTTTGTTTATCCTGGAATGTTTTGATTGCACCATCATATTTGATTGACAGCTTTGCTGGATAGACAATTCTTGGTTGGCAGGTTTTTTTTGTTTTTGTTTTTGTTTTTTTCTTTTAGGGTTTTGTATATTTCTCCCCATTGCCTTCTTGCCTACATGGTTTCTGCCGAGAAATCAGAGCTTAATCTGATTTTCTGGCCTTGTAAGTAACACTTCTCTTTTCCCTTGCTGCTTTGAGGATTCTCTTCTT